TGCAAAGTAGAACGTTTGCATATGCTTCATTAATTAGTTTGGCAAGGCCTCCACCACCAAAGGTGCGTGTATTTTTACACAGGCTTCAGCAATCTGCCTTGGAGCTTTCAATATTCATGTTTCTGCACTATTTGTGCTCTCTATCACTTCATTATATTTATATATGTGTATATATACATTTAACAGATCTTGGAATTATTTGTCATTCTGCTAGGATTTCTAAAAATATCCTTTCAGAAAAACTTCCATTGAACTTGACTGGAATAGGAAAGGTGGTGCACACTTTTCCTTTTCTTGGAGCTCCTCAGTCTTACAGCAATGCTGTCCGTGTAATCTTGGCATCACTTTTCAAACTAAGCTCATGAGCTGAATTTTCAGTAGAACTGACTGCAAATTTTCAGATGGAACAACTCCTCATTGGAATACAACAGCTTGTTCAAGCAGAATGTTTTGGGCTTTGACAACCTCCCAGCTCAGAACAGATGGGGATGTCTTATAAAACTGCTCCTGGGGCTCCTAAATCAACATTCTTTGGCAAGGGGGTGATGGACTTCCTAAGTTTACTGTGACACTGAGGAGCTGCTTTCTCCCACTTTGAACAGAAACAGGAATAAGAAACAGTGGTTTTTCTGAAGTCAGTGAATTTCCTTTCCATCTCCAATTCCAATTTTTTCATCTCACCCTACACCCAAACATCCCAAAAAAGGTCTTCTGGCAACACAGAAATGTTAAATACCACCTTCTCTGGCCTGGTTACTGACAGTAGTAAGGGGGCTACAAGGAGGAGATGGGAAGCACTGAGAAATGTGATGCAGCAGCAGGCTCTAGAGCCTTCACACAGATTTACCTGACTGCTGAAGCACTGGATGGCTTGAGAGCTTTTTCCACCTAGGTCCAGCCCAGCTTTCACTTTGTTTTTTATTGCAGGAAAAAGCTATCCAATGCCAGTCACTTGTGGCAATACTTAGCTCACAAGAATGCTCTAGAACATCCAAAAGTAATAGATGCAAAACCCCACATAAATTACTGTAATGCATTAAACTCCCAAAACAAAGGGCACATCTTCATACAGAACCTGTCCTGTTTCTCCACAGATAATGATTCAACATGCTGAAAAATCTTCCTACACCTTAGAAAAATATGAACGAATGGGGAATATAAAGGAAGGGAAATGCAAAACATAAGAGGGAACTGCCTCCCTTTTTTTTTTTTTTAACACAATTATTTTCACCTTCTCACAAACATAAGTGTACATTCATGTACCTGTGTGTGGCCCTTCAGCCCCTAGAAATCATCGAAAATCCATTGTTTCTGAATTTAGGAGCAACTTGCTCAAGGGTTATGTGCTCCCTCTAAGAGCTCCACACCCATTCAGAGGCAGGGGCTGGACCACAAGCTAGAACATAAGAGGGTCTACACCTCATAAAATGCACTGCACCTCCTGAAAACCTGGCAGCCCTTGGCCTCAATCCTGCCTGCTGTGCACTGTGTGCAGCCATTAAATAGAGCCCCCAGCATTTTACTGAGCTTGGACAGTCACACTGGAAAGGATAACAGGATCAATGTGGGAGATGAGGGTAAAGACCAAACACTCTGGAGATGTCCTGGCAAAGATGAGTAAACAACAGCCCTCCACAGAGAAGGGGGATAGAAGACTTAAATCACACTGAAATTTACCAAAGCTTAAGGCTGCTTGCAATAATGGCCAGGGGTGAACGATTAATTTCAAACCAGGCCAAATTGAGGAAAAGAACCTTGATGCACGCACCAATTTTGTTTCTCAAAGTCAAGAATTGCCTAATCAATAGCAGTGCTAAAAGGAGATGGGCACTCTCAGGGGTACCATTACAAAGAATTGCACTGGATTTTAGCCACCTGGCTCCCAATTGCTTTAATAGCCATCACATGGCTAAAACCCAGGCTGAAGCTTTAAAAGTTTACCCCTTGGTCTTCCTGAGCATCCACTGCTGTCGGGTGGCAAATGCAGAGCAGCAGGAGTGACTGCAGGGTTTACTCCTGCATTGACCAGGGCTAGAACATGGCCAAGAATTTGCACTGCTGCTGCTGTTTCAAGTGTCACTTACTAGATAAGGAAAGGCAAAGCAGGAGAGGGCAAAAGGGGTGAGTGAAAGTGAAAGGAAGTGTACTTAATCCTTCCAGTGTTGATGTGTTGATAGCAGCCTGCACCAGGTGCTCGCATCACTGGCCTAATCCAATCAGCCCCCTCTTCCATTAGCTAAAAATAAACTGGCACTTTTAAGGTAATGCTCTGACTGCTCCCCCACTCCAAACTGTGCTCCAAATCTTAATGGAAAACCTTCAAGGAGTTGAAGGTTTTAAATCAAATAAAGAAGCAGACACAAGGAGAAAAATCCAATCAGAGCAGAAAGGTTTGGATTAGCCAGGAACTGTTTTTCTCCAATTGCCACCAGCACTGAACTTCACAGGAGCAGTAGCTGGAAAGACAGAAGGAGGCAGACAAAAGAGAAGAGGAAGGAGGGGTTTCTCTCATGCTCCTATTAGACAATTTTACAGAAGGAAAGGTGGTGTCATGTCAACAACATCAGAGCTTGGCTTGGTTCCTGGGCCTGCTCATGGTCACCTATGGGATGGTGAGCACCCTAACTCCTTCCTCAGACATCTCCAGAGCCTTCCAGGGAAGAGGAGGGAAATTGGCATTGGCAGTAGCCCCCTCTCAAGAGGTCACCTTACGGTGGGGCTCTCATAAAGCATAGAAATAACCAGCAAGATCCACCATCTTTTGAAAGTAAGTGGGGTAATACTCAGTGCATCACAACCTGAGGTGGAAGGGACCTTAAAGGTCACTGGACCAGGTTACTCAGAGTCCTGTGCAACCTTGGTCACCTCCAGGGATGGGACATCCACAACTTCTCTGGGCAAATTGTTCCAGTGCTCCACTGCTTCCATAGTAAAGAATTTCTTCCTAATATCTAACCTAGACCTACTCTCCTCCAGTTTGAAGCCATTCCCCCTTGTCCTATCACTCCCTATCACTGGGAAAAATCCCTTCTCATCCTTCTTGTAAGCACCTATTTAAGTACTGGAAGGATGCTATAAGCTCTCCCCAAATATTGTCATGAAGAACAACAAATCAAAATGTTTCCACGTTGAAGTTGTTGGGCAAAGGGAATAGAGAAAATAAGTAAATGAAGGAATATAAAAACAAAACAAATTAACTGAAAATACCCTCAAAAACTGAATTTGTAACTTAGGATGAGTAAAAAAAAATTAAAAAATAGGATTTTTGTACTATCAACACTCCTGCTACCCATTTAGATGACTGAACATCTAAAGTTTAGAAGGCTAATGGTTAGATACTGGTTAGGAGAGAAGAAAGGGAATGACAAAAGATTTCCCAAAATACTAGACAACTTTTACAGGCACCCAAAAACTAGGAATTTTATACATACATACATATATATATATATATATACATACACATATATATGAGTTTGAATATATTTCATAGTATGGTGCCTTTTCATTGACACCTATATAAATTATATGTATTTTAGAATAATTATTTTGAAAAAAAAATACCCAAACGAAACATAATGTCCTGAGCCAATGCAAAAACTACAAGAAATCAAGAGCACTGAGATTTCTATGGAAATAAAGAACAGAAATCTGATAGGGTGCTATTACTTGCAGGTCTGATCCAGAACCCATTAATATGATAAGCTTTGATAAGAATCCTACTCCAAGAGCAGGGTGAGGAGCCCAAGAGCATTGGTCAGTGCTACTGTTATGCTGGCTTTTGTAATATCTCTCTTCATATATGTTAGAGCCAAACCACATCAGTTCCCCTTAGCTGAGCTGGATTGACACTTTGGAAATCCTAGTGCACAGGAAATGTTTAAATCCTCACCATTTGAGGGGTAAGAGCACCATAGAGCTCAGCCACTGGCTAAATGTGGCTCAAGAAAGGTAGTAGAGCTGGCAGGAAAAGAAGGAACAATGGGTTTCAACAATCAAATGAAAAGATAAATGAAACAGAAAAAAAGGTATAGCAAGGAAGGGAGGATGTGAAAGACTATGGGAAACTGGAGAGGGTGGGAACTAAATTAATCAAAACCAAGAAAGAATTGGGGAAATGGAGACATGAGGAACACAGGAGAGCACTTGAACTCACAAAGTAAAAAGCAAGGGGTGTGTTGGAGGCAAGAGAAGGAAATAGTGAGGCAATGAGAGACAGAAAGAAAAGGAAGGGAAAAGGTGTGAAAAGCTGAAAATGGCAAGATGTAGGAGAGAAAATGGGAGAGAGGAAAAGGGAGGGAAAGAGAAGGAATTGTACAGGCAAAGGACCAGAAAGAGGAGAACAATCCTAGGGAGCCTGCTGTGGTGGGTCGCAGAGGAGTTCACAAGCCCATGCACTCCAACTATTTCTTTTTGATTCTGTGTCATTGTCAGGCTTCAGACTGCAGCTGCAAATTGTTTGTCTGGCAGTTCTGGTAGGTTTGATTCAATAACTCCTGTAAGAGGGCAGGCAGGATATCAATGCTGCTTTATTGCCTTTTTCTCTGCCTACAATAGCAATCCTCCAGTTATACAGAATTATAAAGTGCCATCACTGGGGGTTGTATCTCAGCATAGTCACATCTCATCTTCCTGGGCTATAATAAGCTGGGAAAGGTAGAAGTCTGAAACTACATGAGCTTTGTGAAAGGATTAACATTGAGGCCTAAAGATTGGCACTGAGCAAACAGAACCTCACCTCCCAAGGACCACAAGGGGAGCTGGGGACCTGCTGCTGTATCAGCTCCATCAACATTCACTTGGTAACCTGGGTCAAGCCTCACTCCAGCCACTAGTGGACAAAGCATTGACACTCCAGAAAGTTGAAACCACAGCTGGGGAACAGATTAAATAACGTGTGGTCCTGGCAGTTGGGTAACTTTTCATGCCTCTCTCCACATCCTTCAGATACGAGCTCTTTGAAAACAACCACGCAGCGACATTTGACATCAAATTGGACTTACTGATGTGGACCATTTTTCCTCCTGGAAGTTCATTCCTTCAGGCTGTGGGGAGTGTAACTCTGCAGTCCGACACAGAGAAATTTCTCCAGCCTTGAGTTTTCATGACCTGTCAATAAAAAGAGGCTTTCAGTTACACAATGTCATCACATAGTACCTTTTACAAACACTAAATTCAGTTTAAAATGTCACAGCAAAACAGGAAAACCTTCACACAGAAAACTGCCTGTGAGGCATTTTATTTGTGTGTCTTATAAAAAAAAAAATCAGAAAAATTCCTGACACATTGTTCTGGCTAAAGTCACCCAAATCAGAACACAACTTCTCATTCAGACTTGGTCATTACAAATATTGGGAGTACCTGAAAAGAAAGAGACCAATTTAATCTGCTTAAACTTTGCCTCTCATATACACACATACAGAAATCCCTGTTTCATGGTAAAAATAGTAGATGGATGTCTTTAAAACTGGGTCTAGAAATCATTGTGATTTTACATTGCAGTTTATTCCGTATATTTCCATCCTTTTGAGTCACACTGTTCAGCCTCCTACTTATTCTTAATAGATTAATTTGCAGTTGCTCCCTCGACATTTCAGCCTTTCATGGTGGAGAGCAATTCCTCTCATTTCATTCATCAAGGCTCCATATAATAATGAAAGTTCCCATAGGTCACTCCTGCCATGCCTTATTTCCTTAACCCCTTTAGCCTTCCACCCTGATAAGCGTTCTTAAACCTACAGCTGTCCGCGTTAAGGCAAAAATAAAATTTCTCCTGCAAGTGATGCTGTTCCACATCAGTTTCATAGAAAATGTGACTATAGCCATGTGATTTCAATTCTCCAACTCCTTTACACTGTCATAATGTCTTATTTGTTTTTTCCAAGCAGTTATACACACAAAACTGCTGAGATTCTTCTCTAATAACCCCAGGTCTCTTTTTTCCTTGGTACACTGGGTAATAAGAATTCTGCTGTGGTTCACTAGCTCTAGACCTACTGTTATAGCCACTAAAAGATCCAAATCATCCTCATCTGGGTGAGAATTGCTTCTTTGCTTGTTTGCTTAATCTTTGCATTAGGCAGAATAATCAATGACTGCTATTTCAGTTGTTATAATATTACAGACTGGAACTGATAGGCAAGATTGTGAGCTGCCATACATTGGCAAGTCCCCAGTATCACTTCCCTGGTCCAGCTTCACACACTAAATAGATGCTTCAAAAAACCTGGAGGGCACACCACCAGTTTGAATTTTCCAGTTGCTCCTTATGACCACTGTCTGTTTTCCAAGCTGTGGCCCTGCTCTGTGATTTACATGGATGTAGGGGAAAGTCATGACACAGCCTTTGCAGGCTAACAAGCAGGCTCTGGGTGCAAGTGAGGAAGTAGCTGGAAGTGTCCAAAAGTAGCCCTGTCCTCCCAAGAAATCCACATTAAACCAATGAACCACGGTGTTATTTAAAGAATGATTTTACACTGCATCATATTCCAAGTTGTCTCTTCTGCTGCGCAATCTGTCCTTTCCACAGGAGACAAAATATTTCTGACCAGCAACGTGGTGCTAAATAAAACAGCTGCCATTCCCACACACATATTTGTGCATCTTTATGGGGAGGAGACAACAGTCAGCTCAAAGCAATTCAGTGCTGATTGGGTTGGGGATAATTTTCTGGCAACTAAGAGTGGGATTGAGACCACAAGATCATTTCAAATAACTGCAGAGGAGTAACAGGATAGCAACACCTTCCAGTCTCTAGAGACCTGGAATTGATTCGAACTGGTCTACCACTTAAGTGGAGAAAAGCTATTATCCCATCACTAATCTCTTGAGCCATTCAGTCCAACTTGAAGCAATTTTTTCTTCAATAAGCTATTTTACATATTTCACTTAGTCCCCAATCTATGGGAGAAGCTTATCACATGATTTGTTTAAAAAGATAAATACCTCTCCCCTTGGCATTTCTGTTTATTCTGGGGTTTGTTGCTAACATGACAGAACTATTAAACATGTTCCTCCTCTTCTCTCCTTATGGAGCCCTGCTTTTCTTCCTACCATTCCCAAAATAAGACAACTTCTTGTTAGTTTTTGGAAGAAGACCCAGCCTAGAAGCATTTGTTCTGATTTTTCTTCCACACAAATGTAAATTTACTGCCCACAACCATCATAGCAGCCAGCAGTACAATGCTGATACCTACTCCGTACTCAAGAAGGGTAAAATCCAGGATCTGTAGTGCAAAACCAGAGGATTGCTAAAGATGCATTTTGCAGAAGGAGTCTTAATTTTTTTTGGTGCATTCATGGGCAAAAGGATGCAGTTCCCACAAGTAAGCAAAGATGCTGTAATTATTAAGAATGTCTTAAAAATTAGGTCTTTGGTGCCTGAAATCAGGGAGGCCATAGCTGCAGTTTTGCAGTAGGGCCACACTGGCCCAGCAGGGGAATTCTTTGTGATGAGAAATCAAACACACATTCACATCCAAACCTCTCAGTTTCTCCCACTGTTTTCCCTCTATTTTGTGCACTCAGAGGAGCCTGTTTTGTCAACTCCACGCTTTCCCTTCGTTAAGTATTTCCTCTGTAGTTTCTCCCAGCACCAAATTTACTCAGCCCTCCTCCATCACTCCCAGAATTAGAACTGGTGCCTTTGAAAAACCTGGGCTTCCTTCATTTCCAGGCAGTTCCTTTCAGCTCCCGCTCACCCCGCAGGTTACACTGCTGGAGCAGCACTGCTTTGATACTGCTCCTCTGGCAGCAATTAGAATCAAATCAGCACCAGGCTGTTTATAAAAAGGGATGTTGCTGTAATGACACTATCAATTCTTCCAAACATTGTAGCTATTTATCAAGTGATTAAAGTGGAGTAACTTACTCCAGGTTTACTAGCCTATTTTCCATTGGAACTTAAAAGGTTTTACTGCCTCAAGTATGCCACTTGGACTGCTAATAATTTCAATTTTATTACATTATCATATTTTTTAGATTTATTTCTAGGTTTTGCATAAGATTCAAATTGTTACCCAGTTTATAAAATAATGTGAATTTATCTTGGTCAAAAATCACATTAAGATAATTACCTTGCCCTTTTGGCAGATAATTTTGTTTGTAATATATTGAAAATGCTTATTTTTTTGTCTTCCTAGCGCCTCATTCTTGCAGAAGAGGCTATTTTTTTTCCTGAAACAACTCCATCTCCCTCTCACTGTAAGGAGCTGTCAGGTCTCCTCCCTTTTTCCCCTCTCCATTGGGGAGAAACAGAACAAAAGGTGCCTGCTCCTGTCTCCCACCTCCCCAAAGCAGCAGGATGCAGACTCTGCTGTATCTGCCAAATTAAAAACTATTTAGTCGGACACTAAATACTTGCTAAAACTCCCAAATGATCAGAAAGATGCTACTTGTCCAGTATCAGAAGAAAGTTGGAGCAACTAAGGATGGATTAAGCAAATCACACCTGACCCTCTGGCCTGGGTCTCTGACCCTGGAATGTCTGAAAAGACACCCATGATCTCCATCGTCAGCACTTTGATTCATTGAAATTAGATTTTTTCAATTTAGAGGACATTTTAATATTTTAAAAGCACAAATTCACAATTAGATGAAACATATACAAATGTTGGGTTAGGTTTGGAATTTTGGTTTGGGGTTTTTTTTCTGGGGGGTGGGGTTGGGGATTTTTGTGAAAAATATTCACAATACCACTTATTTAGGAGAAAAAAAATCAACTTCAGGAAATACTAAATGTCAAATTTATTTAGAATGCGTGGGGTTTCCTTTGTACCTATACAGCATTACTATAAAATAAGAGTTTATACTGACATGTTTTAAGTTGATATAATAACTAGTAAAATAAAATAGCTCCTTTTACTTTATTAAGGACATATGCTGTAGTACTGATGGAAACAGCTCTTTTACAAAATCAAATAAGCGGCATTCTGATGTAGAAATAGGATAGCAATATCCTGAGTGCTGAATAAGTTAAAGGAGGATTTTTCAACACTTCTAACATACTTTATTCTAATATTCTAATTCCAAATTTCAGTGATTCTAGTTCTATCAAGCACTCATTACAAAAGTACCAATAAACAGATACTGGGTAATATTCAAAAGGTTTTGAGGTATGATGTTGAAATATGAGCTTTTTTTTGGGCAAAATATATTATGAAGCCTAGGAGCTTCACAAAAGCAATTCTCTGCTTGTGTTTTTCCCTACTTCTTGCTTAAGAGCCCAGGAAGTTACAGGGTGTACCCCATCTTTTTTCTGCTTTAATGGAGGAGAAAAAGAAGTAATCCAAAACTGGACAACACCTAATTCCCAAAACAGATTAAACAAATTTTGCTTAAAACATTTGGTCTGCAATTGGTATTCGGTCTAGTTTGGTATTAAAGTGAAGATCAGTTTACACATTTGTGTCATTTCTGATGACAGTACTGAGGAATGTGTACAGCCAGAAAATCATGCATTTCTGGGGAGAAAGGTCCATTTCTGGATCTACCTTTGTCCTTCACTGCTGCTCAGAAGCCAGGCAACATTGCATCCCATTGTGCCACAGTCCGTGGCCAGGAGCCAGCGTGGGGACAGCGCAAGCACCAGGGAAGCAGCTCAGGCTCCCTGCCCTGGGAACAGGTTCAGTTCTGTGCATTTCCGTGGAGCCACAGGGAAATTGCACCAACAATTTGCACAAATCACAATCCAGACTGGTTGGCAAAAAAAGTTTGAGTGCTTTGCATACTCTGTATTTCTGAGCATTTTTCCTCTTGTAATGACACAGTGAAGAACCTGATGATCATAAACATGGAGTGTATCACCCTGTCCTTATTGCTTTTGCAACATAATACATGCATCTCAAATAAATTAAACATGTGACATATAAATTCAGTTCATGCTTTTCGGGGGTTATCAAAATCCTGAGAAACCAAAACTCTGAGAATCACTTGTCAAAACGTTCTGGGATGAAGTAGTTAAGCTGTCATCAACAGCTTAAACACTGTTTATTTGAATATGTAAAGCAACTTTTTGAAAAAAACAAAAGTACAGAGTCTGTTGATCAGAGTTCTTTCTCCACATGTCTTAATTCTGTTTCCCCTGATCTCCTGGGGAAAAAAAAATAAAA